CATACATAGGGAGAACATGCTAACTCCGGGCCAGGAATCAAACCCAGAACCTTCTTGCTGCAAGGCAGTAGTGCTACCCACCGCTCCACTGTACAGAATAGTCAGACCCATCTGGATTTTAACCTAATTAGGGCGACAGTGGCGTTGGATGTAGGAGTTTGCCCTGAAATCGAAGGGTTGACGGTTCAAGCCCCGACTCCAACTTTTAGTGTCGTTGTGTCCTTTGGCAAGACACTTCACCTGCATTGTCTACTGATGGTGGTCAGATGGCCCGGTGGCGCCAGTGTACGGCAGCCCCGCTTCTGTCAGTGAGCTCCAGGGCAGCTGTGGCTACAATGTAGCTTGCCACCATCAGTGTGTGAGTGTGTGAATGAATGTAGTGTAAAGCGCTTTGGTCAAGTCTCCTAACTTGAATAAAGGTGCTATATAAATACATGCCATTTACCATTTTTACCATTTAATTAAAATTAATAGGATGGTGGACTTCAGGAAAACTCCTCCCACCCTCCCTCATCTTGCCATCCTGAACAACACTGCTTCTTCTGTGAATCCCTTCTGGTTCCTAGAACCATCCTTTCTTGGACCTGTTGGTCCTTCACTTAGACATTGTTCAGGAGGACCAGCAGAGATCGGACCTCTTGCCACAACTGCAGAAGTATAAGTTTTGACTGGAGCTGTTGGTAATTTTCTACACCACCATCATTTGTTTGTTCTGTCTACATCTACATCTGTGCGGTTTGGCAAAACCACAAAACAGGACAGATTCAGAACTGCAACAAAGTCTGCGTGGATGATTATTAGTGCTGGATTTCTCTCCATCCAGGACTTTTAAAAGTACAGCTAAGAGCATCACGGCAGACATTACACATCCTGGTTGAAAACTGTTTAGACTTCTACCTTGAAGTTAGCCATACAGAGCACTATTTTTAGAAAACCAGCTGCCAGAGAAACAGGTTTGTCCACCAGGCTGTTTCTCTGATGGACACAATTTAAACCCTACTCATAAGCAGATAAAGTAGGGACAGAACCAGAGGTGGCCATGGCCCCACTAATGCATCATTGGCCACCCTTAATGCGCCATTGCCATTGCTAATGCATCATTGGCTACCCTTAATGCCTCATTGGCCCCCCTTAATACATCATTGGCCACCCTTAATGCATCATTGCCGTTGCTAATGCATCATTGGCCACCCTTAGTGTGTCATTAGCCACCCTTAATGCGTCATTGCCGTTGCTAATGCATCATTGGCCACCCTTAATGCATCAGTGGCCACCCTTAATGCATCATTGGCCACCCTTAATGCATCATTGTCGTTGCTAATGCAACATTGGCCACCCTTAATGCATCATTGGGCACCCTTAATGCGTCATTGCCGTTGTTTATGCATCATTGGCCACCCTTAATGCGTCATTGCCATTGCTAATGCATCATTGGCCACCCTTATTGCATCATTGGCCACCCTTATTGCATCATTGGCCACCCTTAATGTGTCATTGCCATTGCTAATGCATCATTGGCCACCCTTAATGCATCATTGTCGTTGCTAATGCAACATTGGCCACCCTTAATGCATCATTGGGCACCCTTAATGCGTCATTGCCGTTGTTTATGCATCATTGGCCACCCTTAATGCGTCATTGCCATTGCTAATGCATCATTGGCCACCCTTAATGCATCATTGGGCACCCTTAATGCGTCATTGCCGTTGTTTATGCATCATTGGCCACCCTTAATGCGTCATTGCCATTGCTAATGCATCATTGGCCACCCTTAATGCATCATTGGCCACCCTTAATGCGTCATTGCCGTTGCTAATGCATCATTGGCCACCCTTAATGCGTCATTGCCGTTGCTAATGCATCATTGGCCACCCTTAATGCATCATTGCCCCCCCTTAATGCGTCATTGCCGTTGCTAATGCATCATTGGCCACCCTTAATGTGTCATTGCCCCCCCTTAATGCGTCATTGCCGTTGCTAATGCATCATTGGCCACCCTTAATGTGTCATTGCCATTGCTGATGCATCATTGGCCACCCTTAATGCTTCATTGGCCCCCCTTAATGCGTCATTGGCCCCCTTAATGCATCATTGGCCACCCTTAATGCATCATTGGCACTGCTAATGCGGCATTGGCCCCCTTAATGCATCATTGGCCACCCTTAATGCGTCATTGCCGTTGCTAATGCATCATTGGCCACCCTTAATGTGAAAATTGGCAAAAATCCTCCACCATGCCTTTAATGCATCATTGGCCACCCTAAATCCGTCATTTACCACCCCTACCAGGTGACCTAAAACCTCTAAAATAGAAGGCGGCAACAAAATTACCCTTAAGTGGAATATTCTAACCAGTTTTACATTCTTATTGTTCGTGTATTAACAATAAACTGAAAACAACTAGGGTTTTCAAAAATATAAATATTCTGAAAAGTATTGATACCCAAAGGCTGTATCTGGTTACATGGCATGGTATCGATACTAACAACAAGTGATGTTGGCATATTTTGGCTGTCATTAACATAAATTTGGTTATTTATTTAGCATTTATTTGTGCTATTACTTAACAAGCATCAGTAATTCTGTTATAAAAAGGCACGTTTCTATGTTAAGATTGAAAATGGTGAGTTTTTTTTAGGTTAACAAAAAATATTTTATGCCAGTTTTTTTAACCCACAGGGTATTGAAAATGGCATTGAGAATCGAATATTTTCCTGGGGATTGAAATTTAATTTAAAATATTGTTATCATGACAACCATAAAAACAAAAGATACAGAATTTGGGCTCCTTGCAACACTAGATTTTGTGTTTTATGGAATAAAGAGCAAATGATGTGTCTTTGCAAGTCTTTAATGTCAATAGATCCATTTAATGTTGGTATCAGTATATATGGAAATATTAACATTATGCAAATAAATTGCGGATAAAAGTATAGTACACTTTTTTTTTTGTTCCCCAGAAATGTAGGCAAGAAATGGCAATAAGGCTCGGGCACAGCGCGTTGCATTCTGGGTACGCCGCCATATTAGTAGCTAGTTGCTACGGTAAACAAAGACCTAAAACAGCATAGAGACAGAGCAGAAAGACGAGTAAACAGCGATGTTAAAAGCGAAGAAAGGATGCGGAATATACCGAGACACACTGCAGAGGGAAGCCAGGGACCGTTATCTGCAAAAGATGGGCTTCATAAACGGACTTGATCCCTACGAAGTAGAAAGAAAGGAGTGGTGCGTTGGGGAAGAATTTCTACCGCCGTTTGCGAGGGAGGACGTATTTTCGTATCTAGTGTGTGGCGTCAGTGCCTACACACATGAAGAGTTTCGCTGCTACAAGTCGCTAGAGGCTTACAAACAGCTGACAGATGGAAAAGTTCATGACATGGAAGTTATCAAGCCGAATGAGAACACAGTCATCAGAGCCAAGGTAAGCTACCGTCTCAACATGGTGTGGTGTTTGTTGTTGTGATAAGACTAGGTGCAGGCACTAACGTAAAACATCAAAAATGTATCTAAATAAATCTTGTGCTGACTGTACGTGTCCAGGGATAATGTAGTTACATTCTGATGATATATGACTGTCCTAGCATGGTACTACCACGCAGGGGCGGAGATAGATGAATAAAAACAGTATGTTCTGTAACTTACCAGAATGAAAATGCCGGGAACACACTCTCATGGACACTGGGATTGAGTTGAAAGTTATATTTGGCCGTCTTACAGCAGCGACCCATGCTAGCCGGCGACTCTTTGTTATGGAGGACATTTGTTTTCCATTGAGACGCCTCCAGGTTGGAAAACGGTAAAAAGACAATCCATTTGGGATTTTTTTCCCCGTCCAGTCACTGCTTGCGCTACTACACCCTACGACACAGCAACGGGCGACCATAACGACAGCAGAGGTAAAATGAAACGGCAAAAAACTAAGCAAACTACTAGCAGAAGAAAGCTAGTCCTTACAGGCGCGAAGTCAAAGTGTAAACAGTGGGCTGACCAGCTATCAATATGGCTGCCGCGCAACGTGTGACGTCATGTGCCCGAGCCTTATAGATAAGATGTTCACACCGGAACGCAAAGCCGAAAGATTATTGTGCAAAACACCTTTAATTTAGACAGCATGGATGTGTAAATATATGTGCTAATTTATTAGAAAGGGATTTGGGAAAATCTATTTTGCATTTATTTAGGTATATTTCATAATTTTTCTGTTGGAACAGTGCAGATTGACCCAGAGGGTCTAGTACCTATCTGCTTCGACCACCCCATGATGCACATTGGTCGCTGCATTGCCACCCCTACAAAATGCTCCCGTCTATTCAACTAGCATTATCACCACCCGCAATAACGCATGTGGTTTTATCATATTTTTCACCCTTAGAATCTGAATTATAATTTTTTTTTTTTTGCCAAGTAGCGTACAACGATTTTGCTTTAGAGCTACACACACACACACACACACACACACATACACACACACACACACACACACACACACACACACACACACACACACACACACACACACACACACACACACACAATGGTTTAAATATGTGTTAAAATATAAAATTTAGAAATACAATGAATAGTTAGAGAATAGATAGTGCAAGTTCTTGCATAGAAATACTAATATGATCAATATATCTTTTTGTTTAAACATTACAAAAATAAATAAAATACACTGTACATACTGGCATTTATATATTATAGCTCATGGCTGAGTAAGCAATGTAATTAAACTCTAATCTCTTTGTTTTCTACACAATTTTGGCCAGTAAGGGTGATTCTGATCTCATAAATGCTGTGTTCACTTGATAAAATAAATACAAAAAAATAAATGTTTTGCAACATTTACTGGTAACTTTTTTAGTTATAGAAGGGATACAATGCATTATTTCAACGTCGAGTGAGTAATATTCCTAACCTATTAATCATAATGGATACTGTTCTATTTTTACTCTAAACCAGTTGGAGTGATTCCTCTGGCAGACAATACACGATCTTGGAAACACACGAAAGGGAAAGGAAACGCCGACTTCTCCATTCCAAAATCCCCTCTGCCTCATCTTTTAGCACTAACGGCTCTTTTTGATCGATGTGAAGCTTTGAGACCTTCTCTCCTTTGCTTCAGGACTGCTTTTGGTCGCTTTTCTGCTGCCCTTTGCGCAGTACCCGCTGTTGGCCCTGAGAAAACAACCGCCGTTCGAGATTTGTGGCGCCTCAGATTTATTGAGCCCGAGTGCACAAAGTTGATAGTTAGCCACCTAGCTAACTGTTAGCTTGCAGCCCTTTCTTGGTTCTAGCTTCGGGGGCGTCGTTTTTGGGCTACAGTCGGTTCCAGGCAGCTAGCAGCTACACCTGAATGCCCCTTTTGGTGAGGTTTAGAGCTGTTGTTTGTAGCTAAAGTGCTCCATACTGGCTGCTCGCTGCTAAACCAGCGTAAAAAGCCCGGAAGGAAGCCAAAGTGAAGGCCGGAGTCCAGCACCACCAAGAGCCGCCTCCGTCAGAGTGTTTGTACCGCCGCGCAGTGAGAGTTGACAGGTGAGTGGGAAACGGCTTTTATTGGCTTGTATACAGATGAATGGTTAAATATTGATGTTTTCTAGCATTTCAAGTATTTTTCATGTTATTTGTGACTATCGAGGGGCTGGAGAATCCGCGGAATCACGCCATCTTTTCATTTGGAGTTAGCCATGGCTGCTACTTTCGCCCAGTTAACTTTAGAGTGTTTTTTTTGTTTTGTTTTTTTAACGGCCCGGTTATGTTTCCGTTTATAAACGGTTCGGTTCCATCCAGGCCGAACCGAACTCTAGTGGAGTCTTACTAGGTGGCCCTGACCACAGGCCGGTGCCAGCCATGGCCTTTAGCCCTGGAGCTGCAGTCTTCCTCGGCTGAATGAGTCTGCATTGCGTCTGTGGATGAAGTTGCTGTCTTCACTTAGAAAGTTGATCCAAACAAACATGGCTGTTATGTTGGAAAAGCTCAATATATAAAGAAGTAATTAACACTTTTCTACTCATTGACTGATGCTTTATATTTATGTCTTCTAGTTACTTTTCTTAAAAACAAATTTCACCCAATATACCCAATTATATAGAGAAACTAGAACTTCAAGACTTGCAGTAAAATGTCTTTAAATACAACACAATGAATTTCAACCAATCAAATAGTTTTGAGAAAGCTTAGAATTGTAGTTTACATTTATATATACTTATCTAGCTGTTGTATGAAAATATATTTAAGGGTTTTGAAACATTAAAAGTATGTTCGTTAGCTTTAATTATTTTGTCGGGACACAGTTTAGAAAAAGTTAAGTAGAAAAAAATGTTCTTGTATGTGTTTATATATCTATTTATGTGTCTTTATCATATCTTTTTTTTTATTCTTCCTGATACTATTATTATTTCAGAGCAAGAAGATCAAGTTAACCACCTTCTTGGATTCTAGAGAAGTGAAACTCAGGTTGAACTGGACCAGATGTTTTTAAAAAAGGCTCTGATTAAAATGTCAAACATGATGGCAAAATTACTATTTTCAACTTATACAAGCAAAATAATAATTCCATGTAGTTTTGTTGTGTTGATTTTTGTGAATGTTGTGTGTGTTGCTATTAGTTGATCGTTTCAACGAATTTACAAAGGAATAGTTGTTGCCGCCAAAGTAAAAGCCCCAGCCAGATAAATAAAAGTAACATAGTAGTTAGCATTCCTTAGCTACCTTTCTGTTACAGCGAGATTCTTTTGATATGTTAACTTTAAATGTCATAGTTAAATTTATTTAAAAATTTGCTGTTAAAATGTTCAACATGTTTTTATGTAAAACAGAGAAGCAACAATTATTCCTCTCGTTATGTTGTGTATAATTGTCATTTTATAACATTTTGTTGTTTTTATATTATGAGGGGAAGAAGATGTTTGTTAGAAAACATTTTTTTTAACCATAGCTTGTTAACCTTTCATTATCCTTCATATGTGTTTGAGTATTCGATCGATGCCTAGAGGCAATGCTTTAAAATAACTTTTTAAACCCCCACTTAGTGTAGGATATTACTGTCATTCATTTGTTTTCAAAAGGTAAACATGTGGAAACAGCTTGTCTTTGTTCAGGGCAAAACCAGCAATGAAATGGCTCTTTATTCCACTCTAAAGATTTTAGCTTGTTTTATCAGTTTATACAAAATAAGAGTTTCCATTAATATATAAACATGTGGCTGACATCTTTTACATATTCAGCCTGCTTTTTGTTCCCAATTTACTCAGTTAGGGAAACGTTCTCCAGAGATCATGACCCTGTGCTGTACTTGCCAAACATTTCTAAGTAATGTTTGTTAGAAAATAAACATTACTGAATTAATAAAAAAAATGACATTATTTATATAGCACTATTCTACACAGCCAGGTAAACAAAATGCCTCACTGGTAAAATAAAAAGTAGTCATGTGAATAATTTTGCATTGATGTTTATAGAATTATAAACATCAATGCACATGATGGTCAGCAGACTGTCAAACAGTCACATCAGCTTTATAATAAAAAAAGTTTCAGTCAAATCAAGTATTCAGTGGAATTCAACTCTGGATAGTTTGAGATGTTTTTTCTTTATTGTTTACTTGAGGGGTTTTGGCCTATGTTTGTGTCTGTCTCCACCTTTCAATCTTTGTCAACTGTATTGTTGCTTATTAGGAGCAGAGGGTGAAGTACTTGGTCTATTTTGGACACTTTTATTAGGAGTATTACTTCTGGTGTTGCTCAGCGCTGCTCCTCTGGGAAATGCTGATTATACATCTAATTTTGTTTTAAGTTGTATCTAAACTTACCTGAAATTTCTCACAATCCATTGAAAAATAGAAAGTCTGCAGATAGATTTCATATTTCAGAAATTTGTTACAGCAATCTGGATAATCTACATAAATGTTTCATCTAGGGCTGAAAGAATTAATTCGATTATTGAAATATGGTCAACTAATTTGGTGATGGATCAATTGTTAAAGCTACAGTGTGTAATAATTACAGGCATATAAATTCAGAAATTTAATATATTATACATAACTATGTTATTTATCATCACCTATGAGCTCAGCCTTTTAACCATAACATTTGCGTTGCCTTAGAATTCGTTATTTATAATTACATAGGAGCGGGTCTCGCAGCCATGGAGGCTGACATCTTTGCGCTACGGCAGCGCAGAGGCAACAAACTAGCGATTGCGAGATCTCCCATGACGCTCGAAAATAACTACGGCAAGTTGAGAGAGATGAACTGAGACGGTACTGAACAGTAGATGGCAGTATTATGCCTGAGAAGCGTTTAGTCTGCCTGAAACCAAAGAAGAAGAAGAAGCAGGTATACTGCGCCTCGGTAACAAGAAAGGTAAACAAGGCGGCAGGCGTGAGTGACTTTGCAAACTGTTTGGCACTGTGTGGCCAAACATCAGACGAATGGAGGATCATGCCTACTCTGTATCACAACGAAAAGCGGCGGACACCGAACCCCCGTCATCTAAGAAGCGGAAACACGACGAGAATAAACGCAAGAGTGACAAGAAACGACAAAAAACACGGATCAACATTGGCACGGCATTTACACGATGGAAGTCACTGATGGAGGAAAAAGGTTTTCAAAGTGACGCTCAAGTTGCCAGTTTTCTCTTGGACAGGTAATTAATCCTATACACACAATTGTCTAATATCACTGCAGTTTTTGGAGTACAGGATGCTCAGACCTGTCTAAAACAATAACATGCTGCGTGATGATGCTGTTACTCTCCAGTATACTTATTCAGCAACGTCCCTGACGTTTCACAGGTAATGATTCAGTAATTTTCTGTAAAATAATTTTCTGGATATATACCTCGGTTACTTCTCTCCGGCTCCTTTGGAGATCTTCAAGCCTTTCCTCCTCTGCTCTCACCCCGCTGGCTCCCCTCTCTCGCCTGGCCCCAGCTGCACGCTCACCCCGGCCTCTCTGCCCTCTTCCTTTCCCTCTTCCTTGCCTTGTAACCCCCGTGCCACAAACAAGACTTGGACTCTGTAAACGGGGAATATATATTCTTCCAGCGAACACAATCTCGCTGTTAAACTAATGACTACAATTACTTCGTCTGTTTATATCACCATGCAAAGCAGCTCACCAAAACGTCACAACGACGTAGAAAAAATAACGGGTATATTTATTATCTTAAGTCTACATGAAATCTATACCCTACACAGACTAATGAAATACTATCTGTAAAATTATCTATGTAAACAAACCTCATCACTTGAGAAGGTAGGTGATGCGGACGTCGTGGAAGACATTTTGTCCCGTAACGCTCGCCGTACTGTTGGGGGGGAGAAGCGGTGGGGGGGAGACGTTCATGTTGCTGCAGTCTGCAGTCTGACCGCTAGATGTCGCTGAAAATTACACACTGTAGCTTTAACTAGAATATAAAGACTCTTTTAGCTGACAGAGCAAACCACTCGGACCAGTAATTGTACCAAAATTATATATATATATATATATATATATATATATATATATATCACATTTTGCATTTAAGATTAAAAAAAAAATGACTTTCATCTGTCAATATGCTCTATCCAGAACTACTTTAGTACAGTAACCGGTCCCAATAAGCTTCTGCACATTTGTAAAGGAGTATAAGGATAGCTCTCTTACAGCATGTTGTTAATGTCCCATCAAAAACTGAAAGTGCTTTAATATATATGTCTATAATCAAATAGGCTACTCTTTCAGTGGTACCAGTGCTGCATAACAGTGGTGCATTTATGCATGCCAATATGAAAATGCAACATGTATGACATTGCTTTACTTAAAACAAGAGAAGCAGAGCGCTGTACTAAAGGTAAATTGTGTACATACAGCTGGCCAGGCTCCCAAAAACCCGGTTACTGCTTACGTTTGCATGTAAATAAGTTGGGAAACATTGCCTTGTTTTCTAGATGGTGTGATTTATGCGTTTTCTTGCGGTTTCAGTGTTGCAGTTTGGTTGCAGTCAAGGCTTAGGCGAAAAAAAGCTGTTCTGAAGATTTACAGGCTTGGTTGCACTACAGTGAAATCTACAGCTGTATCAAATGTTAGTCCTGTTTTAGAATTGACCTCCTAAAGATGGTAGCTACTATCAGGAAACAAACCTCCCATCTGGATTAGACGGATGAATGGGCTGTTTTCAATTCTGGGGAATTGTTCAAACTTTTAGATAACAAAAAGAATGATAAAATAATTCAGTACATTTTAAGCTTAAAAAGGAGTGGACAGAAAAGGGCTTGGACTAAACTGAAATTGACGTTTTTTAAAAGGATTTCATTTTTGACCTCAAGTTCGTTCTTATCGTATTACTAAAATGTTATATGGAGCAGGTATACAATACTAAGTGCTCTTAATCCAAAAGCAGAATTTTCATCTAACAGTTGAAAAGTTTCTTTTTAGTTTTTTTTTTTTTTTATAGATAAAATGGATTTATAGTCAACAAGTTGTTGGTTTACTCCCAACAAAAGGGATAAAAGGTCTAAAAAACTTTTATATTTATTATTTTTAGGTCAG